GAAGTGAGCTTAGCATTAGATTCTTCACTGAAAGTCTTAGAAAGAACACTTAACCTTTCCCCCAGAGAATAAGGTACCCAGCATTAACTCCATTGTGGCTGTGATGATGAGAAGTGCTCATACAGATTGAATTTCACCCATTCAAAGGGAAGACCTGAAAGCACCAATGGGCAAGTGTCTGTGGCAAGTGAATCTGGCAAGGTCTAGAAGTCCACAGGGCCTGGAATAAAAGGAGTCTCAGGAATGGAGATTCTTTTCGATTCTTCTGTTCTTTTGTTGTTTTTATTACTCCAGTGGTTACTGAGCTATATAAACCATTGAAAAGAGGCTGTTGAAAGATATACATAAAAGGAGGGCCACTGGTTATGCAAGGAGCATTCAAAAGCAACAAAAGAATAGTAAAAGACAGATGGGGTGAGTAGAAGTAAGAAATTAAAAGAAACATCTATTTCTAGTCTTACATTTACCCCCAACACACTGGAGACATCAAATTCCATCTTTTTCAGGACAGCAGTACCAAGGGAGGTGTCACTGTGGGTGACAATCTGTACTACCCATCCTCCATTAAGGTCTTTATGCCTATGTCCTGTGTGGACAACTAGATCATTCATTCTTCTGCTTACTCACACCTTCACTCCCCAACAGCATGGCTCTCCTAGAATCAATCAGACCGTCAAATGCACAGTGTCTCCAGCAGGGAATTTTTCCTTCTTCGCTCAACAAGAGTTGAACATTTTAGTTTCTCAGAGGGAAAAAGTATTTTAGTCCATTCAGACTGCTGTGCCGAAATACCCTCAACTGAGTAGCTTATTAGCAACAGAAATTTATTCCTTGCTGTTCTCAAGGTGGGGAAGTCCAAGATCAAGGCACTGATAAACTGGGGGCCTGCGAGGGCCGGTTCCACAGAAGTCGCTTTCTAATTGCTTCTGCACAGTGATAGCAAACAAGCCCTCAGAGCCTCTTTATGAACTCATTAACCTCATTCAGGTGAGCAATGCCCTCGTGATCTAAAAATCTCCCAAAGGCCTCCTCTTGATACAACACTTTGGAGTTAGGGTTTTAACATATGAATGTAGGGGGGGCGTGACACAGATGTTTAGAACTTAGCACAAAGCAAATTTTAAAAAATATAAGAAAGCTTCAATCATTTTACTAACTAGCCATAATACAAAACATTTTTACTTTATTTAATCTATATTTCAATAAAAGAAAAAACTCTAATCATGGCATGTGTGGGGAAATAGAGATTGAAGATATTAAATAAATTCAAGCCAGGTATGGTGGTGCATGCCTGTAGTCCAGCACTCTGGGAGACCAAGGTGAGAATATCCAAAGTTTGAGCCCAATCTGGACAACTTAAGTGATTTAGTTAGACCCTGTCTCAAAATAAAAAATTAAAAAAAAAAAGGACTGGAAATGTACCCCCCCAAAAAAGTTATTGAAAATTATATATTCTATAAATGGTAAATCTAGGACACAAACTAAAATCTGACTCAAAGCTCCAGCTTTTATAATGCTTTAAATCAAAGGCAAACAATAGTAGATGTTGGGAAGAATCCACAATAACCTGGTGTAATTAGTGCACAGCAGTGGGTGGGCACAGTGAGCATATATGCATTAAGAAGCACACAAATTAAGTTCTCTAAGTTAATTTACCATAAGCATAATTTCAAGGATGAGAGAAGGCCTCTTTGAGTAATGACAAATGAGAGAAATCCAAGGGATGAAGAGGACTTCCATGAAGGAGAACAGAACAGTATGCATCATGATTCATGTTGAGAGGGAGAATTCTACTCTGTGTGCTGAAGAAATGACAGTGTCTTTAGTGTGAGGAGGATTGAGAGGCTGGTGTGAGACAGACCAGACACAGGACAGACTAGGAGGTCAAAAGAGTCATAATAGTTTTTGCCTTGAATTCAGAACATCACGTCATTGAAAGTTTTTAAAGAAATAATAATTTCAGATTTGCATCTTGAAGAACAAATTCAGATTACAGTCAAGGAAATTTGGAAAAGGTACAAGTGGAGAAAATTTAGAAACAAAAGAGCCACTTAGGAAGTATATTCATCACGGCAGTGTAGCTAAAGATCTGGATGAATTTGAGCTGGTTAAATCTTGAACACAGAATATTGTAATGGGACGCCTATGGGTTACATAGAAAACAGCTAGGAGAACTCCCGGTCTCAAAGTGCGAAAAAACCAACCAACCAAACATACAAACAAAAAAACCAAAAGCCAGAAAGGTAGCTAAAATTTAGTTACTGGTGTGGAATTTTAATGGCTAAAAGGAGAAGGATAAATGAACAAATAATTGTAATATACTATGGTAAAATTTAAGATAAAAGAGAAGCTACATTTTGAGCACAAACTTACTGATCTCTAGGGGCTATGTCCCTACAGACTCATGACACACATGTAAAAATTAACCAAGGGATGCGGTGTGGAGGATACAGCAAATAAATGTTCAATGATACCAACAGCATGAATGTACAAGAAAGCTAGGTAATCGCAGTAAGTGTGGACTTTTAAAAAATGAGGTGTACTAGTCAAAATTCCTGAGGGAAACAGAATCAAAATATTACTTACACACATACCAAGAGATTTATTTGAAGTTATGGCCCCTGCAACTATGGAACCCGGCAAGCATAAAATCTGCAGGAGGGCCAGGAGGCTGGAGACCCAGAAAGAGCTTCAGTTAAAGTCCAAAGGCCATTTCCTGGCAGCTTTACCTCTCAGGGGTGAGAGGTCAATCTTTTGTTCCACACAGACCTCAGAATGAGGTCAACTCACCTTACCTGACCAGTCATTTCATTCAAAGTCCACCTATTTAAATGTTAATCTCATCTGAAAACATTCTTACAGAAATAGCTAAAATGTTTGCCCATACACCTATCTTGGTGCTATGGAAAGGTGATCTATAAAATTAAACATTATGGTAATGCAAAGCAACTGAAATATTTTAAATAATTATCTAATGTCCCTTTCTAATTAGGAGAGGAAGCCCAGGATTCCATACCATCCTGGAATATGAGAATGTAAAACTTGGCCTGTAAGAAGTGAAGGCTGAAGCACGGGATCCAGGAAAAATCAAGCATTTACCTTTCTGGATGAATGAATTAGATTTTTAAAACATATTTTATTCATTAATGCAATCTAACATTGACTTTATATTATTAATCCCAGGGGTATCAACTGGGAGCTGGAAAGGAACTGGGTTTACCATCATTAGCCACTACGAAAATCCAAATCAAAACCACAAGGAAATACCACTTCACACCCACTAGGAAGGCCAGAACCGAAAAGACAGATAATAACAAGTTTTGGTGAAGCTGCAGAGGCACTAGGATCTTCATACACTGTCAGCAGAAATGTAAAATGGTATAGTCACCGGCAGATCCTCAAAAGTGTACTCAGTAACTCCACTCCTAGGTATATATACTAGAGGAATTAAAACATGATTCCATGAAAAAAATTTTACACAAATATTCATAGAAGCCGTATGCTTTGAACAACCAAAAAAGGGAAGCTGTTGCACCGGGGATTTACCTCAGTGGTTCTGGCGCCTGCCTCGCAAGCACAAGGTCCTTAGTTCGATCCCCGGTGCCAAAAAAAAAAAAAGGGAGGCTGTGACAGAAAGCTTGACGCTGTGAGTAATTGGCTGTCACAAACTTTATTGGTCTTTTTGTGCCCTTAATGAAAGAACTGTGAGCAGGGTGTGGTGGTGTATGCCTGTAATCCCAGCACTCAGGACGCTGAGGCAGGAGGATTGTTTCGAGTTAGAGTTCAGCCTGGGCTACATAATGATATAGTGAGTTAATTTCCTTCTTTCTTTTTTTTTTTTTGGTACCAGAGATAGAACTCAGATCCTTGCACTTGCATAGCAGGCCACATAACCATTGCGCTAAATCCCCTGGCCCTAGTGAGTTAATTTCTTGAAAAGTAAATGCAGAGAGTTATGCCTTCAAGTGAGAAGGCAGACAGTGCCATATAAAAAAGCATGTGTGCAAAGTGAAAGTTTGAGTAACTTTTTATGCACACAAAAGTTACTCCTGGAATTCAGGGATCTAGGACAATTATGATGCTTATTGACATTTTTCTTAGAAGTTACTTTGGAATGTCATATCTCAAAAATGTCTTCCTTGTCCTTTTCAGACGCTCAGTGCTCCCTCGGAGCATGTAAGAAACTTAGGAAAGGAAGAAAAGGTTCTAATCAAATCAGGTTCCAGCCCAAGATGGGAAGGTCTTTAGGAAACATTTCCTTCTCTGATATCATTGGGCCCTAGGCTATGGCAACCAGGAATGCAGCACGCCTTGTTCTAGAAATACTGGGTCGGGTCTTTGGGTCTGATTATAAATGACTATAAGGCCTTTGATCCTTAACTATAGCTAGCAACACAGGATGTTATGGACACCTTTTGTCCCTCAGGCCTGCTAATGTCTGTTTACCTAACGAACAACCCAAATATCTACCGACTAGTCAGTCGAGAAATGGATAAAGAAACTGTGGTAATACAGTCGCATGTAATCCAGCCATAAGAAGGAGTGAACCTTAAAAGACAAAGCTACTAAAAGAAGTGACACACAAAAGACCACATTACATGATACCATTTATAGGAAATATCCCGAACAGGCAGGTCTATGAAAATGGAAAGTGGATTAATGGTTACCAAGGGTGAGAAGACGGGAAGGGAGTAAGGGTTGTCATTTGGGGGAGGGTCAAGATAATGCTCTAAAGTTGATTGTGCCAATGGTGGCGCAGTTCTGTGAATATAATTTAAAATGGAGCTGTATACAGCACTTTTAAAAAGAGAAGTGGGGGCCAGGGATTTAGCTCAGTGGTTCCGGCACCTGCCTCGAAAGCGCAAGGTCCCCAGTTTGATTCCCTGTACCAAAAAAAAAAAAAGTGAAGTGAATTGTATAATACATCTTTTTGTGCTCGCTTCGGCAGCACATATACATCTTTTTAAAGCTCCAATTTTTAAAAAAGAAACTGATCTTACCTCCTGGAGCAGAAAGACAAGGAATGTAAGCTCCCTGTTGGTCACTAAACCTTTTTAATCCCGGTTGCAGCGAGGCTTCTTCCATTGCATTTAGCTTCCTGCTTCAGACCCTGCTGGACACCCAGCCTTTCCACCGCCACTTCACAGCCCAGGACCAGCTTTTCTAGGCCTTAATCCCAACCTCAGGTCACACTTTAAATTGGCAAAATTCGATACATTTTTCTACCCAACACCAGCCAATTGTTCAGGTCTTTGTTTCTTAACTGCAGGGCGGTTAAGAAACAAAGCTGGCGGCGTTGAAACCCGCTAGAGAAAGTGTAGGCAGGGAAGGCCACCAGGTCTCACCAACCTTCGCTGCGCACGCGGATGTGCACAGGAAGAGGAAAGAGCTCGAGGCTAGGGCGGGGAGAAGGCAAAGCACCGGATGCGGAAGTGCCTTGAAGCGGTCAAGGGGCCAGAAAACCCTGTTGCCGGGTCCAAATTCGAAGTATGTACACCCTTTCATCTGCAGTCTGTGATTTGTTCGGATTGCAACACCAATCCTGGAGTGGTGGGAAGTAGAAGAAACATGTGTCCCAGGCAAAGGAAAGTTGTGGCGGGATCTTGAACTGCAATACATACTACAAAAGTCAGTATTACCCCAGGCCAGTAGATACTGATATTCAGGTTTTAGCCTCATTGGTATATGCTTTCCTCTGGCAATTTAAAATACATATAAATTAACTAGCAAAGTTGAATTGAGACACACCAATATTCTTAATAGTTGATTAAGCATTGATTAATTTTTATTTTACAGCTTCCTCTCACTCCATGATATGGAGAGCATTTTTTTTTTAAGGATTTAAATATATTTGTAAGCACTTTTAAAATCGTGAAAGTTTTACCATTGTTTTTCCTAAAGCAAAAAAAAAAAAATGCCTAGGGAGTACTTGGCTGTGTTGTGGAGAACAGGAGAGGCCTGTCTTATGCAGAACGGGAGAGAAATGTTGGGATGATGCCCCAGGAATCAAGGGAGTACTCTGCTCCAGTGGGGATTGGCTCTCCACCACCTTCAGCCGCCACATAGGCATCAGCTGGAGCAGACAGCTGTACATTTTCCTGCCATGACCTCACACTTCTCTCCTGACACTGTGCACTGCCACTCACTGCTTTGAGGCCATTGAGAAGATGGCAATTATATACTTTATATGTGTTAAGATGCGAGAAGCTCAAGATTCAAAGCCACCACTCAGACCCTTGATCCATAAGGTTCTGTATATACTTATTTTTTGTGCTTTATTCCACCCTGTCTAACATTTGAAATTTTTTACTGGACAACCTGGAATTCCATCAGTCATGAGCAGAATTCCCTGTATTGACCAAATCTTGAATTATTCCTCTCAATTTCTTGGTCTAACTGACTCTTGGCTCTTCAGAGGACAATTCTTTATTCTCTGTCACTCTTTTTATAAAATTTCATAGCCTGCGGTTGGCATTAGTCATTCTTCCTACACCTTATTGGTGATTTACTCCTTTCTCTTAAAAAAAAAAAATCTTTATTTCAGTTTGTTGTTTAATAGCTCTTACTAATCATCCGTGGTCCACTTATTTGCTCATCCCTGACATTTTCCCTCTTCCCTTAGTGGCTTGTGTTCTGTTTCTCTATAATTTATCATGATTCTTGGTGATGTCAGTACTGACATAGATGCCCCTTCCTTACTCTGGCCTTCAGTTCTCCATCTCTCCGCTAACATGCACATGTCTTTCGTCTTCTTCGGTTTTTTACTCCCATTGTCATGCCATACATTTCATTATCACCAATATTTAAATCTTATCCATGACCTAAATTTCAGGTAGTCCACTCTCCAGTCAGTCACTTTTGTCATTTAAACTCTTCCTCTCTGTTGTTATCACTCCAGCATCCTTTGATCCCACCAGGAGCTATAACCTATGGTTCCTATCACCTTTTCCCTATTGATAGCCTCTCTCCCATATCTACGCTACCCTCCTGATTGCCTACTTAAAACGTCACTATTATAATCACTTTCCATGGTCATTGTACTTTCCTAAGTAAATGTTAACACTTTAAATTTGGCATTTCAGTTTATCTCTATTCAGTCCATTTTGGAGACACACACACTCACACATGCATACCTTTTCTTGTTACTTTAAATTTGTAATCAATAATCTCAGGTATATCTCTACCTACTTAATCTATTTTCTCTCTTCCCTCATCCTTCCCTTATTGAAGAATTTAAATCCCAGGTAAAATAGCAACATTCATGCAGATACAAAATAAGCACACAACAATGATGTATTTAATACATTAATGAGAGGCTGGGGATTTAGCTTAGTGGTTCTGCCGCCTGCCTCGAAAGCCAAGGACCGGAGTTCAATCCCCGGTACCAAAAAAAAAAAAAAAAATTAATGAGAGTACCAGCATGACATTAACATCAGTACAAATAAGAATACGATTTAAGGAATAAAAACTAAAACCTATTTTCTATACAGTTCACTTCCTACATTAACAAACCTTGTTATTCCATTTTCTTTGTCAGTATGATTTTATCATTTATTAAGCTCTTGACCAGGAAGATAAAAATTTCAAATAACTTTATTATTCAACCTAGAAGTACATTTAAATGAACATCAACTTATGCAATTCTTTAACAGATATCATAAACAACAGTTTACTCCTCAATATTTTTCAACCACTTTATCTCAAAATTCTGACGTTGCTATTTTCATTTATTCTAAACTGTTAGTCTTACCTAATACTAATGTTCCAAATTGCAAGAACCATCCTAAACAGGATTCCTTTTTTTTGACTCTTTGAGACAGGGTCTCATTACATAGTTCAGGCTGGTGTCCTCAGCCTCCAAAGTTTTGGGATTACAGGGGTTCGCCACCACACCTGGCCTATTTTTTATAAATATATCAACTTCGCTTCTCTCCCTTTGATGACTGTTCCTTATCGTGTTGATTAAAACTCTACTTTGTCTTATGATCAGAGTCTCTATGTGGTATTAGTGAGGAATGAGCATTTGACACATTTTAATTCCCTATAAAATAAAGTGAATTTGCATTTACCAAGAAGATGAATCATTGTCAATGCTAGATAAGAAACATTTGCATTTTTGTCATTTTTTTAAACAATCTACATGGTTGCAAATAGAGCCTAGATCCTAGTTAACCAAACACAATCAAAGGAGCAGACCTTTACAGAACCAGGTAATAACTGGAGGGTTTGTTACACAACACCCAACATTCCACTGTGAGGATGCTCAGTAATCTTTTCTCTCGTTTACAGATGTTAATAGTGTTTCTGGTTCTATATAGGAACCATCTCCAGTACCCTGAGGTTTTCAGCCAAGAAAGACTTATGAAGAACTGGCTGGAAGTTTTCTAGGTTGAAACCTAACCCAGTACACAGTACATAGGATATTTTCTTGGCTTACTCTCACTCTGCTTCTCCTAGAACCATAAGTCACAATCTGTGTAGATGCTACGGGCATAGTTGGTGCTCAGGGTTACTACCAGGAGATCCAGAATGAGGATGAAGGTCACCTCTGTCCTGTTCTTCACTAACAGCTATTTCCTAAATCAAATCTGTGAGGTTCTGCTTGCTTTGGGGTCTTCAAGGCTCTTACACTGATAGGTGGAGGACCAAAAGAAGGAATGTGTGGAAAAGTAGAAACATTTACCAAGACTTTGCTTAAATGAAACATGTACTCCAGAGTGGCTTAATTCTTATCACACTTGATGTGAACATAGAAATGCAATTTTTTTTTTAAAAAGGAGAATAAGTATACATAAATAAAGAATAGGCCATGATATCTGAGAGCTCAAAAAATGGTCTTATTCTGAAATCCTTTGTGTTTGTTCCCAGGCTAACCATGTGAAGTTTGGAAAAATGTGAATAGGATAGGCAAGGAACTGTTTTGGCTTTTACTTCTTTTTTTTTTCTTCAATTAAATTCTCCTGAAGTATCTGCCAGTTGAAATGGTAAACGCATTGGAAGAGTTCCACTGTGGCCTGAGTAATAACCCCACCCCCCACCCCCTCAGGTCCCACCCTCACCTTCCATGCCCAAGTTTATTCACTGAAACCTGATCACCAGTTAATAGCATTTGGAGGTAGAGCCTTTGTAAACTGACTGGGTCTTCAGGAAAGAGCCTTTTTACTATATGGGACACAGCTGGAGGGGACCATCTATGAATCAGAAAGGTTTTCCAGACGTTGAATTTGCTTGATCTTGGGCTTCTCAGCCTCCAGAGTTGTGAGAAATAAATTTCTATTGTTTTAGCTTACAGTGGATAGTGTTTGGTTAGAATAGCCTAAATGGAATACGGTTCAGAATATGCTACTCTGGTTCAAGAATTGTTTTGTTTTGTGTTTTTTTTAGATAGGATTTCCCTATATAGTTCGGGCTGGCCTTGAACTCACTGTGTAGCTCAGGCTGGCCTCAAACCCATGGCTCTGCTCCTGCCTCAGCCTCCAGGGAGCTGGAGGGTTCACCACCCTGCCTGGCTAATACAAGTATTTCAAACCTAAGGAAATGGAGACAAAGGGAAATGCAGGAAGAGCTCTCTGCCTCCCCCAGTTGTTAGAAGTAGAGCATTAACTTCCCCCGCTCAAGGTGTCCTGACTTTCATCTCGCACTTCCCACACCAGCCAAGGGAAAACAGCCTGTCACTAGAGATGGAACACCAAGAAAGTATCTACACAAGCAAGCCTCACTAATACTCCTCATCCTTCCTTAGATCTACTGTATACTGTTCCATGGGTTGCTACCCTAAGAAGCCTAAAACCTCTTCTTTTATCTTGTTACTTCTCCAAAAATGTATTGTTCTATATGAGGATGCTATGTCAGCCCAAGTTCTAACCACTCCTTTATTTATTACTGAGTTTCTCCCATGTTTATTAATACCACACATTTCCCGTGTCACTAAATTTGCTGGGTTTTCTCTTGTTTACCTGTCTTTTGTCAGTCTAATTGTCAGAGTCCCAGTTGGAGAAAGTATGAGGAAGAACAAATGGTTTTTCTTTCCGTACACCATCATTCATTTGGGCATTTTGGAGGATAACTGAAAATACCTCTCTAGGTAATGTGAGAGGAAGAAATGAGAAAGAGACTTGGGAGGGTGAAAAAATTGTCCCAAGTCCTAGGTAATTTTTGTATAAACTCTTACGGTTTAGAAAATTCTAGTGTAGTTTATCCTACATTATAGTAATATACTATTTATATAGTGTAAGTTATAAGTCAATCAGATCTTCCTTATTCTATCTCTCCCTCAGGGTCTCAGCCTTCCATTTGCTAGGCAAGCTACTTCGCAGTGTTTCCTCCAGGAAGCTGCATTTTACATGAAAA